GAGCCACCGCTAAGCGAAGCTTGTTGCGGTGACACTGCCCTCTACCCTCCGATCGCGCAATTCCAGTTCTATGGCAGAATTTAGAATCCAAAGTTTAACGTGCGCACATAGCCGCGCACGGCCGGTCCCCTCACTGACTTCGCCTGGCTACGGCCTGCCACCAACCGCAACCATACCTGTCAGGAGGCCCATAAATGTCAAGCGCACGTCGCGCTTCGAACCCGGACTGTTATAACCGGGAACGCGTGCTCTCACCATGACGCGGAGTCCAACGCTCTACCAACTGAGCTTCGGGACCGGCTACATCGGCGACATCGGCAAAATGTTATGTCAATCATACATATAGATATCGTACAGTATTTTACATTCCCCATCAGCTTGAGTCGACTTCCCACTAGAGTTTGAGCATTTAAAGTAAATAAAAATAGGGTGATCACTGATTCCTTTGCCAAATACTTGCGGATTCAATGAAATGGCAATGACTGTCATGGCTGAGAGTACGAGTATATATTAAACCGCGAGTGGGTAGAACAAATATGTTAAATGTCGAGTCGATAGGCGAGACGTTTAACATATTTTTCTACCTACGAGTGGTTTAATAATTTTATCCCGTACCACCGATTTTTTTTTTGGGGGCGCTTAAAGGTAAAAAATACATTTTATGTAAAAGATACAACACATTTCAGACTAGACGAAATGTGTACTAGACGTTTAACCCGCGCCCCACTGGGGGGGGGGGGGCTTCATGGCCCCTCCCGTTTTTCTGCAATAACTTTCAAACCAACCGCTTGACGTATCGACGCCAAACTTTCAGTACCTTCAGCTGCATCAATTTGACACCATGTGTCAAAATATGAACTTCGTGGCTACCATAGGTCGGCGGGAAATGACGTCAGAGTGACGTCATGTTCGGCCGATTTCAACGCAAAACATTGAACCTCGGCAATCGCTTCCAAGAGCTCAGTTTTTAAGCTAGATCCGATTTCTTTGCATGAGAGGTTTCAGAATAGACTGCGCTATCAGACTGCTATCTCAGACTTTCAAATGTTTTTGAAATTTTGAAAACTATGTATAATAAAATTTAAAATCTACATTTTTATTATTTTTCCAGTACATTTTTGACTTTCAGAAAAACGGAATAAATGTGATAGAACACATGCTTATAACTTACTGTAGCCGGGTTTAGCTAAATATCTTCAAAAATGGCTGAGTTATACGCATTATTACAAAAAATCACAATTATAAATTTTTCAGATCAATTTTTTTCAGTACATATTTGACATCGTACACCAATGTAAAATATAAAAAGCACCATCGTGTTCCTGAGCTTAAACTGCATCCAATAGACGCCTTTTTTGTTGAAAAAATTTAACTTCAAAATTTGTTCTTTTTTGACCTGAAAGTGACCTGACCTCAGCTAAATTCAACTTAAAATGACCTCAAATGACACAAATGACATCAAATTCGAAATATATGGCCTAAATGGACCATAAAACATGTGTCACAAGACCGAGCATGATATAATATTTCTGTGACCTGTAATGACCTGACCCTGACCTGGAAATCAAAGTACAAGTTTGGTACCCCCAGGGTATCTAAAGCATCTGTTCACGAGTGTGTAAACCAAAAATGAGCCTGATCTGACTTGTAAGACGGCGGCCAGAGCCCAAAATGGGAACAAGTCAAAATGCTAATAATTTTTACTTTGACCTGACCTGTGACGTCATCGGTAACCTCGAGGTCAATTCAATTAAGTTTCGCTCGACAGTTGTTCCGGGGCTATCAGACACCGTTTGAATTTTGACGATCGGCCCAGTAGTTTCGGAGTTAGGGGGAGGGGGCTATGAAGAGCCCCCCCCCCCCAGTAGGGTGTGTTATACGCAGACCCCAGTGGGGCGCGGGTTAAAAGTTTGTTAATCGTCTAGACGTTTAACAAATCAGTTACACGACATCTGATAATTTTCTCTCTTTGCACGTGAAGCATTTGTAAACACTGTCTACGGAGTACGGTGCGGGATAATAAGCATTTAATCCAGAACTTTGGGTGTCTAAGCGACGGCTGCCTTTTATTTGAAACATAGAAAACAGTAGAACAGTAGAAGGTCTACTGTTATCAATGTTTGAAGCTAAGCGCAACTGGTTCCACATCCAGAGCTTGGATGATTAAAGGAACTATCCCACCTTTAAAGGGACTATCCCACCTTTAACCCGGCAGTTGCTGGGGTATTTCGCCACCCACCGTTTGCTGGGGGGGGGGGCGTTAAACGCCCCCAGCCGATAACTCGAGAACCAATAGGCGCAGCGAAACGAACGAGGCGGCAAACGAAAGAACGCGACGAGACGCTTCAGATGAGTACTTTAAAGTTGAATTTTGAGGTCACAGGTCGGGTCAAGGTCAGGTCAAACACCCAAAATCGGGCTTTCAGTAGCATGGACTTCAGGACTTCGCAATGGGCGCCTCTCGTCATAAACTCTGTCAAAACGGTACACAATCCATCATATAAGGCCTACAAGAGTGTCAGCTCCATGTAGGGGTCAGTCAAGCATAGGTCAGGGTCAAGGTCAGGTCAACCGGGTAGGCACATATCCCCGAAAATCAGAACTGATATTCGCAGCCTGTGACACATGTTTTATGGGTAATTTAGGGCGTAGAACACGATGCTGACATTCATTTTATCATATGTGTACGTGTTTGGCTCAAAAAGTTCAATTTAAGAAATTCATGTATCATGGTCGTGAAGTAGTCACGAGAAATTGCCAAGATTCAGTTCAAGATTTTGGAAAATGCGGAACGATAATCAATAATCGAAGATAGCCATTTGATTGTTCATGGTATTGGCAGTCTAATGGCGTTTACGGCATGTCTTTATGTCTATTGTGTGATTTTATATGATTTTTTGAACATATGCCGTTTTTGGTCGAAAACCCAGAAATCATGACGTCACTAAAACCTTGATATCTCAAAAATTTTCCAAACGATTTTTTTGAAACTTTGTCACAATAAACTTCAATTAATTCTCTACAGATACCCAAAATTTGGCGCGCCTGCGGCGCGCCGTTTTTATGCTATGGCCCGGTCGAAAAAAGTGGGGGCGTTTAACGCCCCCCCCAGCAACTCGCGGGCTAAAGGGACTATCCCACCTTTAACATGGGGTTTGAGTTGAGATAGCCAAGTTTGCGGCGAGGTTCAGAAACCACTATCTATCTAGGTTGCAACCCCCGCGGCCTCTTGGTGTTGAAGAAATTCGTTCCCTTCATTTGAAAATGGGCCTTGTACAAGGCCCTATCTTCAACATGGAGCGACCGTTAGTGTGACGTCACCTCATTTAGTCATTCTGATTTAAATGGGTTTGTTCGTTGAAAAATCGCTTAAAACTTGGTCTGAACTTTGTTGTGGTGCCTACAGAGTAAAAAGAATCAGCTTTATGACAGTAATGTGGCCTGGAGAAGGAGGTAATTTTGGGCTGTGACGTCACATATTTGAAAGTTTGTGTTTGGAATATGGGAAGCCTAAGATGTTTAATGAAAAATAAATGCCAGAACCGTGTTCCTGGTCATCCAATCTATAAAGTCGGGCACAATTTAACTGGTTTTAACAACATTTTAGAAGGTAGGATAGTCCCTTTAAAGGGACCCTCCCACCTTAACATTATATTTGAGTTGAGATAGCCAAAATGGGGTCCCTGGCTCACAATTACCGGTTTCGGCACTCACAACATCGAGAAATGCCTTAAATCGGAAATATTTAATTTCAAAATTGCAGCATTTTGATTCAGAGGGGCTAATGCAAAGGAATACCCCTCTGAATGTGTGACGTCAGCGCAGATATCTAACGATTTTTAAATGTTTGACTAAAACGTTTTGTAGCACGCGGTGGTATATGCTGCTTTGCGCGCAACAAATGCCGCACTTTCAAATAAAGTCGCTAGGAACAGCGGAGATCCCGGCAAAAAGTAAACAAAAGTAAAAGTCTAATATCTTGAAAACCGGTGAATATTTTTCGATGAAATTTGGTAGATATTCGTTTTTGCTCTTTCTGAACCGAGCGACATCACTTTCATGCCAATTCATTAACGTTTTTGAAGGTGGGAGGGTCCCTTTAACATGGGGTTTGAGTTGAGATAGCCAAGTTTGCGGCGAGGTTCAGAAACCACTATCTATCTAGGTTGCAACCCCCGCGGCCTCTTGGTGTTGAAGAAATTCGTTCCCTTCATTTGAAAATGGGCCTTGCGCAAGGCCCTATCTTCAACATGGAGCGACCGTTAGTGTGACGTCACCTCGTTTAGTCATTCTGATTTAAATGGGTTTGTTCGTTGAAAAATCGCTTAAAACTTGGTCTGAACTTTGTTGTGGTGCCTACAGAGTAAAAAGAATCAGCTTTATGACAGTAATGTGGCCTGGGGAAGGAGGTAATTTTGGGCTGTGACGTCACATATTTGAAAGTTTGTGTTTGGAATATGGGAAGCCTAAGATGTTTAATGAAAAATAAATGCCAGAACCGTGTTCCTGGTCATCCAATCTATAAAGTCGGGCACAATTTAACTGGTTTTAACAACATTTTAGAAGATGGGATAGTCCCTTTAATTGCCTACTTCTTTTGCTTGTTATTGAACTTCTGTATTTCGTCTGATATCTTTATCCATCTGTTCCTGAAAGCGGGATTCGCTTGCAAACTGTCCACCGAAAACACCTTTTTTCTCCGGATAAATTTAATTTTGCTCTTAAGTTTTATTGCATGACGTTTTAGATCATCATAAGTGTTAAGACAGTCTTGAGACGAGTTTTGCTCTCTCCTTGAATCTATTCGCATTTGATTTGAATTTAGATAAGTTCAATGTTAGCTCGTAACACGGCGGGTCAGGGACGCCGACCTACCAGGGAGTCAGCCGGCGGTCGCTCCACCAATCAGGAAGCCGCTTATTCTGACCAATCAGAGCCGGTCCCGGGTGGCCGACCTCTGGCCGGGACGCAGCTGACTCGCCATGTCAATGCGTGTTGTTAACTTAAATGACATTGTTGTGTGTTGTTTACTTTTGTGGTGACGTCTGCATTCTGAAATAAGCAAGAGCGCTGGCGGCTACAAGGGTTTGTAAGTGAGGGCTATATGTCTCCTAAAAGGCTGGATGTAATTTTAAGGCTACACCAAAGCAGTAGGTCAAGGTAGGTACTTACATGGCGTGAACTGAACGAGGGAGCTATCCACTATCAGCCTGGTTAGACGTTCCCCGTTTCGACCCCGGTTGACTCCACTCGTAAAGCGGTGTGTTAACCCGCGCCCTGATGGGGGGGCCATTTTGGCCCCCCCTGTGGTTTTTCTTAAATAGCGAGAAAACGGCGGCGCCAAATTTTGGGTACCTTACCGGACATCAATTTGACACCTTCACACAAAATTTCAAGTCACAGGTCACCTCAGGTCAGGAGTTATTGAGGTCAAACTGAGGTCATGTTCGAGTAAAAATGAGCCAAAAACATGACATCTTGAAACGCTCACCAATTCTACAGTTAACAAGCAATTTTAAAGTTCTTTATGTGGTTGTGTAGAGAAAAGACGGCGCTACAAAACTGCTATCTCGGATTTTCGAAATTTTTGGATTTTGACCCCCAAAAATCAAAAAAATTGATTTTTTTAGAAAAACTCAAAAAATTTCCTAATTTTTTTCGAATTTCGAAAAAACCGGAATATATGTGATAGTCCCTGCGCTCTTCGATATACATACCAAATTTTAGATCGATACCTCTTTTTTTGGCCAAGTTATAGCGAAAAAACTATTAAAAATTGATGACGTCAAATTTTTGAACTCAATTTTTAGCGATTCTAGACCTCGTAGCGCAAAACGGAGACCACCATTGAACTCCCCGTGACGAGCTGCATCGAATCGATACCCATTTTATGCAAAAATATCAACTTTGAAATTTGACCCAATTTGACCCGACCTTGACCTGACCTTGACCTGACCTTGACCAAAACGTGACCTAAGCTGGCCCTAAAGTCTGTCTGACCCACATAATCGCATTTGTCATGTAAAATGGACCATAAAACATGTATCACACGACACTTTCAAATTGTGACCCCCCAGTGACCTGACCTCTGTGACCTGACCTGGTATCAGTGACCTCAAATAGCAAAATATGTGTTTGAAGAACATTTCCCCATCGATGATTTTCAATGAAATGCATTTTACACGATTTTACAACGCATTTCTTGAAATGCCTGTAAACGGTGAAAATTCGACCTTTGACCTGACCTGTGACGTCATCGGTTTGACCGAGGTCAATGAAATTGGGTCACAAGGTAGTTCCCCCGTGGGGCTATCCAACACCGTTTACCGCTTGTCGCTATGTTGCGTGGTTCTCGAGATCTGAGGGGGGGGGGCCAAAATGGCCCCCCCCCATCAGACCGCGTTGCTCGGCAGACCCCATCTGGGCGCGGGTTAAGTTTTTGTTGTATTGTTTTTACTTCTATATACTTATACTCGGAAAAAATGTGAATTATTTATGGTTTAATTATATTGCAAGGCTTTTCTGTTTTTATGTTGACGAAGTGCGAGGCTATGGAAATGATGAGATGCCAGCACAGAATGACGAAAAACCTAAAACTCAATAAAACCCCTGTCTCACGTGACCTCCCGACCCACCGAATTTCAGGTGACCTCTGTGATTGCCAGCTGACCCCAGTGACATCTGACTGACCTGCGCCATCCTGATGACCTCTGTGACCTCCGTCTGACCCCGGTGACCTGTGCCGGCAGGTAGTGGACGTGAAGCCGGCGTCCGGCGCTCCGCTGGCCCGCCACCAGTGGCAGGTGGCACGGGCCATCTCTGAACAGGCCGGAGGTTACCCGTACCGGCCGCTGAGGAACCGGAAGCGCACCTCGGCGCCGGCGGCAGGCACCTCTCACCCGGCCCACCGAGTGGCCATCCAGTACCGGTGCCGACGCTCCTGGCCCGTGGCTCCAGCCGCCAGACGGAGGTCAGTCCCGGGTGGGCGGGGCCGGGGGGCGGGGGGGGGGAGGCACGTCGTGGGGCTACGGGGTGGGGGGGGGGGGGAGGGTAGCAGGGGAGTACTCTGGAAAAGCGGCACATTGGCAGATGAAGGGAAGACGTCACTTACCTTAGGTTTATAAAAAAGTTAACTACATGAAGGTAACTGGAATACACTTGGCCCAGCCAAGTGTATTCCACTTGGCTGGGCATAACAAGTTCAACGTGGCCAAAAGCTGCTTTACGACCATTTTTTGGCATGCATTCACAGAAGCCTTACCCTTAAATTGAGGTCTCTAACCACACCTCCAAGGTTACCGGTTGACCCGAGACGTTCACAATGGGTCTGTTCCAGTCGCACTTTCTAACGCTTCTAAACTCCTCCAATAGCAAGATAGAGGAGGTTGGAGCAGGGCCCCCTCCTTGGCTTTGTAGGGGCTAGAGCTGCCACTGGAACAGGGAAGCAATCCTGGAGGAGTTCAGAGGTGTTAGAAAGTGCGACTGGAACAGACCCAATGTATGCCGATCGCTGGGTCCCGCAACAGTGCACACATTAGTTTCTCCAAGGAGCCTTTATAGTTCAATTAGTGTATGAGCTCTAACTCTTGCCGCTCCCCTTCAGCCGGAGGCCCGGAGGTGGAGAGGTATGATAATGTTAGCTGACACGCCAGCAGTCTCGTGGTAGGCAAGTGTATTCGCAGACAGTCACAACCCAACAATAATAACCAATGTGGTCTGACGGGCAAGGGTTTATCACGCGTGCTTGATAGAAACTGGTATGAGTTGTAGAAATTAGGCTTTACTCATATGGAACTTGAACCATGCTAATTGCAAACGCATAATAGATGCCTACCAATATCAGATGCCGGCTTAGCCGTAAATAATGCTGTGTGTGCACAACAGCACACATGATTGAGGATGGGATATTAAATCGGAAAGGTTACGACCAAGCATGGACAGAGTTATGAATCTGATGAGGCTGGGGGGATCCGTGCTATCGTAAGTTATATCGGACGTGGCTGCGAAACTTCTCTCGGTACGAAACTTCTCTTGATCGGAAGAAAATCGGAGGGATGAAAAAGAAAGAGAAGCTCAACCTCAGGCTGAGAGAAGCTGAGAGAAGCTGCACAGAAGCTCAACCTCAGGCTGAGCTTCTGTGAAGTGATTCATTGTGATTGTGTGTTATTCCAGTCTCCAGCAGCCCTCGACAGAATCGGTGGATGCAGAGTTGCATCACTAGCGCCACCTCTAGCTATTCGAGCAGACGCCAACGACACCTAGGTCCACCCAAGGCACCGACCAATGCTCCAAGGCATTGGTCGATGGACTGGGAAAAATCGAGAGGATGATCAAAAGTGGATCATCCTGCGATTGTAAATCGACGTAATTTATCAGCCTTCTAACATTGTATATTTATCTCTTTTGATATATTCAAAGCCGCTGAAACGTAAAAACACGCATTCCCTGTTGACTCAGATTATAAAGGGTAGTCTTAGTCAAACCATACGTTTTTTGCGTGTTGGTATTACGAGTGAGTGGTGATACGTGACAACTGACAGTTTTGTAGTTTGATGAATAATGGTGAATATTGTTGCCGAATTTTTAATTGTTATTTGGTCCTCAGGGAGCTTATGTTGGAATCAAGTCTTTGTAAAGTGCCTTTGATGATTCACTTGACGATTTGGAAGAAAACATGGGTTGATGTTGATGATTTCAATTGTTGTTGACTCCGAAGAAAAAAAGCGAAACATCAAACGTATACTTACGTATTCTTCATGTGTAGCATTTGAAATGGTTATAATAGTTTATAGTATCGTCCAAAAATAGCGAAATGAAATTTTTATGTGTCCTGACTTTAACCTTTATCGGGTAAACACTACATACCCATATACTCGAAATAGTTATTTAACCGTTAACACCTTACGTGTTTATAAACATTTCACTCATCGTGGTGCACATTGCGTAGAAATACTAGTAAGTTGACACATCATGCCACGTCTGCCGAGCAATAAGATGCTTCTCATTCTTGTTATAAGTAGGGTTATGTGAGGTAAGACGCCCCTGATTTTCTTCTTAATGTTTTTCTTCTGTAATATAGTTCTATGTGAAGTTACTTTTTTATCATTGGAGACGTCTGTCCTCTTGCCGTGCAACTATAAGATCGATATAAATCGATTACATTAGATATAATTGGAAATAGGTTTTCTGCTCCGGTGAAAATTCAGCCTGTGGTCCTTGTGCCCGCAATTTATAACGCTTTTGTATTTGTATTTATTTACTCACGGGTTCCATTATATGGCTTTTCAGACCTGAGACCGTGATTGAGAACGTTTAATGTCAAATTGCACACACACAACATTTTTAATTTCCCCACCTTCAAGCACACGCACTTTCCTAGCCCATGCGGGGTGTGTTGCTCGTGATTTGACCATGCCAGTTTAAAGTACACGCGACTTACATGAAATCCACATCAAAATGCAGGAAGGCACACTCATGAAGCACATACAGCATCACACGGTAAAGCCTTTGGGTCAGTGGTCGGCACGTCAGATCACACAGGCCATAAAATCTCACTTAAAGAAGTTACAATGGGTCCTGATTTTCTCGACACTTGTCATCGACCTCTTGAAAGTCATTTAATGACCAAGGACCTAAAATTGGGTGGCAGCGGCTCCCTATCGTGAAAACGCTCGTTGTTTTCCGCAAAGCTCAGAGGCCAAGAGGCTTGGAGTCCGATCGACTCTGCACTCGCTTGCGTTCGCGGCTGTGAAAACACTAACAGACGGGCGACGATTAGGACATGGGAGCTGCTTTTGCTCGACTGTACAGAATGGTGAGCAGCGGCATGAAAATTGGCATGCGCCAGCCAATCAATTCATGTTGTGCGCGTTTGGCTTCGACTAATCGCTGAACCCTGGGACTAAGCAATCGTCATGTCTGTGCCATCAAAGGAGCCCTTAATTCTAAAAATGAGGCTTTTTCAGAGGCCCTCACTGTCCCCGCCAAGGGGCGCCATTACCTCCAAAGGGGACATGCCTCACCTTACTTTACATATGTACAGGAAGAAGGAATACGTTTCAGTTCATCATGCGTGTCATGAGCGTGAATGCTAAGCATGCATATTTGTAATAAGAAAAAAGTCACAAAGGGCTGTCACGAATGTCACGAGCTATTATCATAAATAGCTGCTCATCTTGCCACAGCACCACCTGAAGCACACCACCGTAGTATCACGGACACACTCTGTGACGTCTTTTCACTGCCACCCTGACTACGATCGCGACACCTAATAGCGCCGTCATCGCTCCTAGCCCGGCGGTCATCGCCGCAAACCCATACCGGTCAATGATGGCTCCACCCAACACAGGACCCACTGCGCACCCTAACGAAAAGATGACGTGGAACAGGCTCGAAACGAACGCCCTGGTGGCCACGCTGTCGTCGAGGCCACTGGCCACGCTCGCGTCCAGCATCGTGCTGTAGCAGGGAGTGTAAGCGCCGCCAAAAAACAGCAACTCGACGGTCATCCCCGCTCCAGTCATGAGCCAGTGTGGTGGAACGGGAAACGCTGGAGCGATGAAGAAGATCCCAATGCTAGAGGCTACCAGACAGCCAGCCATCTGAGGAAGCGAACTGGGTCTTGTCTCCAAGAGCCGAGCCCAGAGAGGGTTTACCAGCACGTACACTACGCAAGAGACGAGAAAGAAAAGACCAACCAGTGTCGGTGGTACGGCGAGCACCCGGTCAGCGTACACCGCGAACGCTGCCTCGACCGTGTAGACGTCGGCAGAGTAGACGAAAACCGTCGCCAGACACAGCCAGTTGTCAACAGCGCCGAGAAACTTTAGCAGCGACGCGGCAAATGACGCCTGCTGGCAGTCGGTGCTCTCGCTGTCGGGTATCAGGCGAATTAGGGCCACTGAGGTCAGCAGCATCAACGCTCCGAGTGTGAAGAAGGGCGTGCCGAAGCCGCCGACTGCGTACAGGCCGCCCCAGAGGGCCGGTGTCAGCGCGAGGCCAGCCGTCAGCGAGGAGCCGATCACGGCAACCGCCGTGGTCACCCGACTGCCGAACTCACTACCGGCGATGGTGTAGCCGCACGTGGAGATGGCCGCCGAGCCAACCGCTTCCACGAGCCTCACCGCGAACGCAGCGCCCATGAAGGTCTGGGTGTCTTCGATCCGGTTCAGCAGCCCAAACAACAGCGTCGTCGCGCCCGCCAGCGCCAGACCGATGTTGTAAAGCCGACTGATGCCAATCTTCGGAGCCAGCCGACCCACTAGCGGGCTCAGCATCATCTTTGCCACGGCGTAGCAGCTAAAAACGCCGCTGATGGCTGCTTGAGAAACGCCGCGAGAGGCCGCCTCCACCGGAAAGAACGGGATCATGATGGCGATCAGAGAGCCATCCATCACAGCGACCATGCTAATGCAAACCAGCAGCCTCCGCTGGTTGGGGGAGAAGCGGTCTTTGCGGGGTGGCTCTGGTTCTGGCCTCTTCTCTGGCCACTTGCCTTCCAATGTTGTGTCGTTGTGGATGTTCACTGACCGATAGTCGGGATGGTCACTTGGTTCTCTGACCGGGCCTCCGTTTTCGTTGAGCAGTCTATAGGTGTCTGACTCCTGTGTGTTACCCATGGCGACTCGCTGAGTGAACTGATTCCCAGGAATTTTTGGCGATCAGTTCACCAGTCAGGCACAGATGCGGGCGGTCACAATGTCCACACACAGCTGCAGTCGCTTTGGAGGTCAGCCACCTTTTGTGAGGAATGCCATTGTTCCCGAGATGGCAGTCTGATTAACCCGCGACCACCTGGGGGCTCCAATTCTCCGTTTTTTTATTTTTCTTTTATAGCTTGTGACATGTTTTAGGTTCATAGGTAAACATGACACACTGAATCGGAAAAATGCACCTGTGACCCCCCTGTGTGCCCCTTAGGTCATCTCAGGTCATGAACGGTCACCAGCAGTTTTTTGGCTACAACTTTTG